CATCATCCGTGAGCAAATCAAATTGATTACTCAAATTAATTTCTTCAGAAGGGGGGTCAAGAGTTTGCCCCTTTCTTTTGCGTTTAGGCGCCATGGCGGCAGTAAATTTTTACACAAATCGACTTCCAAGCAGATTACTATAAGAATCTGAAGGATCGAAGAGGAATTTTCCAAATCGATATCCAAGAAGGATTACCTCGGGTAGGATCCAAACAAGGATCGAAGAGGAATAAAGTTGAACAAGGTAGAAATTTTACAGGTTGAGCACTGAAAACTGCTGTTTAAATTTGTTGTAGCTTTAGGTAGTAGTAACACTTCCTTCAGCAAAAAGCAAATAGATCCGCACGGCAAGAGAGCACGATGCGGACTGATGGTTGTTCCCTTAATTTTTGCAAACAAGTACCACCATGTTAGTAACAATAAGAGTTTTTTCACAGATGGGTCAACTATAAACGCTTCCACTGGATTTGGAGTATTCAACGAATTTCATAGCGCCTCATATCAACTGCAAAAACCCTGTTCCGTATACGTTGCGGAACTAGCCGCCATATTTTACGCAGTAGAGCAAATTGCCTCACTACCATCTGATCACTATTTTATTTTTACTGATAGCCTTAGCTCGTTGGAGGGTATTCGATCAATGAGGCCGATGAAGCACTCCTCGTATTTCCTGACCGAAATCCGAGCTAAATTGAGTACTTTATCTAACTGCTCCTATACTATCACCTTAGTTTGTGTCCCATCTCATTGCTCAATTCCGTGTAATGAGAAAGCGGACTCGCTAGCTAAGGTGGGCGCTATGGAAGGCGATATTTTTGATCGACAAATCGCCTTTGCGGAGTTTTTTTTTCAATTACCCGTCAGCACGTCCTCACCAACTGGCAACAAAAATGGAATGAGAGTGATCTGGGAAGATGGTCACATTCTATTCTCCCACAGGTGTCGAACAAGCCATGGTTCAAAGGATTGGACATGAGCCGTGACTTTATACGTGTCATGTCAATCACTACTCGTTAGACTCGCATTTCTTCCGAATCGGGCTCGCAGGCAGCAATTTGTGCGCTTGTGGTAGTGGCCATCGACGATATCGACCACGTGCTTTGGTCATGCACCCTACATTGTGTTGCTAGATCCGAGTTATCCGCATCCCTCAGGGCCCGAGGAAAACAACCCATGCGGCCCGTTAGAGACATCTTGGCGAGCCGAGATCTCGAATATTTTAATTTAATTTATGTGTTTTTAAAACGGATCGATCTGAGGATTTAGGAATTAATTTTATTACATGAAAAACTGTACAAATGTAACACAAAATACTGAGATATTTATAAAGTTAACGAATTCCGGCAATCAAAATGGAGTTGACAATAAATCTGAGTGAATTTGGTTTAGATAGGATACACTACTCGAGCTCCGTCGAAACGTTACCTGAACTTATAGCAAATTAGAAAAATAAAAAAAGTGCGAGATCAACAAATAAGAGAGTAATTATATAATAGCTTATAATAGGTTGATGCTCCCTTATTGAAATCATCGAACAATGGTGTATGATAATGATAAGCATATACGGGAATCTGAGGTCACTTGATCCCTGTTATTATTTTCCAGTGCTATTTGATCCTTGTTATTAAACAGTTTATAGAATTCTCTAACAAGCATCAACTCCGATACTTTTATTTAATACTCATTATTTTGCTACTCATACTTATATACTTGTTACATTCCGTTGATACGTAGCGTTAATCTGACTTAGTAGGCGCTCAGGCCAGATTTATTTATTGAGTACCCCGAGAAACCCAATTAAAGAGATTAGTGATGTAAGGCTGCTCGTGTTTACCTACAAGCGTATGTGAGATCAGCGAGCTTGTAACTCGGAGCCACGGAGCATTTTAAAAACCACCGCTCTAAGGAAGTGCCGGGATGATGACACAACACACCACATGCAAAAGGAAAAGATGATTAAATAGCAAAATTAGCAAAATGGCCAATTGCCAACATTACACATTGAGTAACTTTTTTCTCCCACGGTAAAAATTTTTGACCTCATACCAACTTTTTCTTGTCTCAATGATACCTTTCGAATGAGATATCAGTCATTGATGTATATTCTTGGACCAGTATCCATACATTTTTGCGCAATCTCCTTTTGCATAGGGTCTTTTTTCGAGGCAATGAACATTTTATATAGTGGCATACATATTAGAGGGCATGCGTGGGCGCCAAATCGACGACCAAAGGCACCGCCTACAAAAGCCGATACGCTCCCTTGAAAAAATTATCGAGATTTCTACTAATTAATGAATTATAGACAATTACCTCTCATGATCCTTGGCTTCACTATGATTTTAACTTACCACTTTTTGATTATTTATCAAATACCTCTCCGAGTATATAACGCCCCGATGCCTTGTTGATTTCTGGTCTCATTTGGATTGGTCCTGAATTTGTTTGATATCCTGTTCGAAGTTATTCTTTTCCTTCTCCTTAGTCAATTGAAATCCCCGTGTCTCACGTCATATGATTCGCCATTCATAAAGATAATGGGTTAAAAGGGAGTAAAACATACATAAAGGTAGATTAGTATTAGTTGTACTTGATCCAAACACTAGAAAGAAGCATATATAACTTAGTAGGAAAATAAAACTAATATATAACTAGTGCAATGGATAAGTGTTAGTTCCGGGATCATTTTAGTGTTAGTAGTTATGTTAGTTTTGATCCGTATTCAGTACTGCCGGCCCCTCCAGCACTATTTGCAGCAATTGTGATAAGATTATGCGACACTGCTACTACTACTATGTTAGATGTATGACTTGTCAATTTTCGCAACGCAATGTCTTTCAATAAATTACTCAATCACTTTGATGTCTGAAAATTTGCTCAAAAGGGTTTTGTTGACACATCATACCTTACCTAAAGCACAACAATCCTAATTCTTATTTCAAACCTATCAACATATTTAACACATCTTTCCTAAAACTTTACTTGTTCGTAAGCGTCTGGTTGAAGATATGACTTTCGCATATGACTTTTACATTGCCTGTAATTAACAAATACACTAAATAGGATGATTTATTATACAACTTCAAAGGCTAGCCGCCTCACTAAGCGGACCCCCCGCGTCCTATCTCTTATGTTAATTAACTTTCTGAATTCTCTAATTGAAGTTTATTAAATAAATAACTGAAATCTCTAATCTACCTACACAATCATAACCCATGCTTTTAAACTTAAATTTAACGTGTTTCAAGTACTTCTGGCTTTAACATATATTAATTATATCTTTGTTCGTCCCAGGTGACACCTTCAAGTGACTAAAATGCTTCACTGTGAATTAAGTTTCCAAGCTAATTTTAATTTGTATATTGTATAGGGTAAATGTTCCAATTACGCTCTCACGTTTCCACTATGTCGCACCACAAAAATACATATGGGTATGTCACAATAGAAGCACACCACAGTGGAAATCCCGAGTCATAGTTCAAACACTTATCCCAAATCAAAATGAAGCACATATAAGATTAGTTACAATACCATGTACAAAAATGGTGTTTAACATTGTTCCCTGAGTAATACCTCAATGAAAACAACAATGAAAGCTTGTCACGCAAATAGAAGGAGCACCGATGGGCACTTTCTGAAATATTTCAATAGTATAATTCCCTTGCAAACCCAAATAAATCTATCTGCGTAAAAATAAATAAATTAAGAGTGATTTGCGGCAAAACCCGCCAGTATCACACCCAACGTCAGTGCCTATACATAAGCGTACTACGACGCGGCTCTCAATCGAAGGAGTAACAAGTGTGATACTATCACTGCTAGACTAGATCTTTGGTTCTCTCATGCAGTGGTTTATCAGAGAGGGGAAGCTTAGTAATCCCCATTGCCTGCCCATGGCGCCATTCTATCGCGGCATGAGCCAGCAACGCCGGCCATAAACCTACCGTCTCCAACACTCCACTAAAAAGCATGAAATTAAGCCCGCCCACCAGCATCAAGGTGCAAAAACTAGGTACTGTTCAGTCTGGCCAGTGTTTTAAATATAATTCAATATTTTTTCATGATAGAAGATGAAATCATTTTATTATGTTTCCAGAGAGTCTTAAGCTCAGCTTTAAAAAATCGTTTCAACTCGCCCCGGCTGAACAATAACGATAAAAACACATGTAGAAATTTTGAACATACTGGGAATATTTAGATAGTAATTCTAATTGTTCAGTACGTATCCCGTGTATTCGCTAAGTGGGCGAATCTAGGGTCCGTGCCCTGGGCATGTTCAAACATCGGTCCAGGTTCTGGTACATTAACTTATTTTCATGCATGGTTGAAGTACTAATTTTATAAATCTTAAAATTGTGCGAAATTAGATTTTACGTGCTTTGTTTCACAGCATTTTTCTATAGTAGCTACTCGTTTTACATCAATACAATTACGGCTTTAATAGTTTTGAATATTTATATCTGTAACTACTAAAGTTAGTTGCAACAAAATGCTCTAAATTTACCATAACATAATAGCCACGGTACTTTGGAAAACAGAATTATGTTAAATATGTATTCTGGATTGTTGCTTTTGCGAATAAGGGTAGATGTATGAGTACCTGAAATATATGAACATTCCACTGAGGCTAACGAGAATTTGTATACTTAGAATTTTATCACACTTGTAGAGTTATTCCTAATTATCTATAGAGTAACTTTTCTCCACGCATAAAACAGGTTTATTTCGCTACAAGAGCTGCAGGAGTGACGATAGTTTTGTTCCTGCTGTTTGTTTCTTTTTTCCCTTTTTTAAGACAGGAAGCAAGAGTATCCTACTATTATGTACAAAAAAAAACTGTAACAGAACCTGTATGCTACTACTGGTACGAGATATTAACATTAAATATGGATACACATTTTCTCAAGAAAACCAATACAAATTACTTGAATGTAACATTAATACTTCAGATTTCTATAGACACAACATGCTATGCTTTATCTACTAATGAGAACGCTTACCTTTTTGAAGATACGAATGGAGAACCCATTTTGAGATTTGATCGTCAGATATCCTACTAGAATGGGTTTATCTTCTTCATCCATGGTATGGAACCTCAATTAACAATTTGGATGTAAACGTTATTCACAAGCTAATGCACATTTTATGTAAAATACGAGATGCTAACAAGTATCAAAATTTTTCTACTACTTCGTCACAAAAATATTTGTCATTTCAATTGAGTTCTCCAAACCAGACCTCACGAACACTACACTAAAACATCATTTTACACACACTAGCGTATACTAAAGCCCTACAGTAAAAGTTTGGACGTCAAAAGTATAGTCGCTTTATATTATATTATGAATATCGACTATACTTTGGACTACACGGTAACCGCAAAATACCCAATAATGACTACAAAGTACACGCTATTTCGATGCTACTCATTTTTGAGTCGAAAATCACTCAGTTCAGCCAAAAGGGAAGTTACTCAAAAATGAGTAAGCATGCTTTTACTCAAATTTGAGTAAACGTGCTAATTGATGAAACTGGGTAACGGTTACTCAGATGATGACGCCCGCATAAATGCAAACCATTACTTTACCTTACCAAAAATGGTTAAAAATTGTTTATAATCCCTGCTAAACTTAAACTGAAATGGTTATGGAACTTTACATGAACGTTTGTGTGATAAAGTTTTAACCTTATGTATTATGGTTTTTTGGAAGTGAACCTTACAAATAATGGGTTGTTAAGAACCATTACCATTTCAAATTCTTGTTTTTTTCATACATTTTTGGGAAAGGAATTATATTGGAACTATTTTATTTATGATTTGAGAACTTTAATGGTAATAGTTATGGTAGTCGGTAAGGTTCATAGCTGGTTTTGTGACATCCATCAACTTTATGTCGAATATATCGCAAATTGGTTGCCTGTAAATTACTGATTACCAATTCGCGATATATTCTACGTAAGGTTGACCGATAATACTAAACTATTAATGGACCTTACTGGCTACCATAACCATTACCATTAAAGTTCTCAAACCATAAGTAAAAAGGTTTTAATATAGTCCTCTCTCCGAAAATGTATGAAGAAAACATCTATTTTGAATGGTAATGGTTCTTAACAACCCATTATTTGTAAGGTTCACTTCCAAAGAACCATAATACATAAGGTTAAAACTTTATCACACAAGCGTTCATGTAAAGTTCCATGACAATTTCAGTTAAAGTTTAGCAGGGATTATAAACCATTTTTAACCATTTTCGGTAATGTCAAGTTATGGTTCGCTTTTATGCGGGCGTCTCTTCCAACTAAGATTGCCCTTCATATTGACAACGGTCTTCAGTTCCACACATTTGGTGTCGAATCCTTCAAACTGGTGCTCTCCAACTGCATACGGCGGTCTTATACTATGGCTAGGCATTTTGGATATAACCAACCTCGCTCAAGGGGACTGAGCTTCATCCGTTTGAAGTTCACCATCTCATCGCGAATCTTCTTGAGCTTGGCTTCCCGCTCCTTATCTTCCGGAAGCTGCTGCTGTTGTACAAGCTCTCGACCTCGAATAATCGGCGCTGACAATCCTGGCCATACAATGTTGGCCTTACCGAAACCAAGCACCTGTCCTTTGTTCAAATCCTTAGGAGTAATACGTCCGGATCCCTTGCCTCGTCTTCGTTTCTTGCCGGCATTACTAACCGAAATGATTTATGTCAGAACCATTTACCCAGAATCTGGGTAGATTCCACTCATCGGAGCAAAACTCATCACTCATTTTTTGACAACTCTATACAGCATACAAAATTGAGTGCGATCTACCCAGTCACTGAGTAGTCTCGAAATAGCGTGTAAGCATTTTCGAGGGAAACTGGGACTACCCATTAAATGAGTAAAATTTCACCCATTTATGAGTAATTAAAACTACAAAAACAAGTAGTAAGTATACATTTTTGAGTAACAAATCCTCATAAATGGGTAATATTTTTACTCATTTAATGGGTAGTCCCAGTCTCCCTCGAAAATGCTTACTTTGTAGTCATTATTGGGTATTTTGCGGTTACCGTGTATAGACGCTACATTCATAGTCTGGCGCATTGACGAGTGCACGGATGGATTTGAGTTCACTCACTCGACAAAAAGTGACACAACAGCGGGGCCCTGTTGACTAAAAATGAACACATATGTGTTCATTTTTAGTAAACAGGGCCCCGCTGTTGTGTCACTTTTTGTCGAGTGAGTGAACTCAAATCCATCCGTGCACTCGTCAATGGTGGGTATATAAATGGTGATACAGCTTTGTCACTATATAGGCGAGGAGGTCGCGGGGAGGAAAAGTGCGGTTTTAGTGCAAATTGTAAACAAACTCGGTCGCTGTCCCATACAAAAATCCAACATGGCTGAATCATGAATTTGACACATTAGAACACCTATATGTAGTCACCTTGGTCTGGCGGATAGAATTTTGATCTATCAAAAAGCGGAACCAATTCACTATAGACCAACAATTGAAAAGGTACTATCAACTTGTTTAAACAAAACATTGATTATTCTTTCCTCGCCAATCGAACGCAAATTATCGGCATCATCGGATAGGGCAAACTTTCCTCAACCTAAGCTTGCGTACCCGCATAAACGCGAACCATAAATTGACCTTACCTAAAATGGTTAAAAATTGTTTATAATCCCTGCTAAACTTTAACTGAAATGGTTATGGAACTTTACATGAACGTTTAATGATAAAATTTCAACCTTATGTATTATGGTTTTTTGGAACTGGACCTTACAAATAATGGGTTGTTAAGAACCATTACCGTTCCAAATTCTTGTTTTCTCCATACATTTTCGGAAAGAGAACTATATTAGAACCTTTTAACTTATGGTTTGAGAACTTTAATGGTAATGGTTATGGTAGTCATTAAGGTCCACGAATGGTTTTGTAACATCGATCAACTTTATGTGGAATATATCGTGAATTGGTAATCAGTAAATTACAGGCAACCAATTCGCGATTTATTCCACATAAAGTTGATCGATGTTACAAAACCATTCGTGGACCTTACTGACTACCATAACCATTACCATTAAAGTTCTCAAACCATAAGTTAAAAGGTTCTAATAGTTCTCTTTCCGAAAATATATGGAGAAAACAAGAATTTGGAACGGTAATGGTTCTTAACAACCCATTATTTGTAAGGTCCAGTTCCAAAAAACCATAATACATAAGGTTGAAACTTTATCATTAAACGTTCATGTAAAGTTCCATAACCATTTCAGTAAGTTTAGCAGGGATTATAAACAATTTTCAACCATTTTAGGTAAGGTCAATTTATGGTTCGCGTTTATGCGGGTAGGCGCGCCTTGAGTCACGAGAAAAGGGTTTCCGAAGTTTTGTTCGCAATAGCTGATGTGCTCTTTTCTGTTGTTGGTCGTGATTTGCTCGATTGGTTCCGCTGTTTGACAGCTGAATTGGTTCCCGAGATTCTATCCGCCGGACTATAAATATAGCGACTATAGTCAAAAGTTGTTCCAATCGAACCGCCAAAATGTACCGCCTTTGCTCGATTGGAACAGCTAAGAGAAGAGGACTTTTATGAACCAATTTTCTGTGAAACCAGCGAACCAGCGCCTAATTGGTTATGCGAAAGTATAGAAACGCGAGAATTTTAACAAAAGGGAATCTATTTTCTTGTATTTCGAAAGTCAACTGCGTCGTCCATAATGAAATAGATTTTGCACGGTCGTTTCCGCGAGAGAAAAAGAACACATCACAGACAAAAAGAAGCCAGTTGTCTCCTCTTCCTCTTAGCTTTTTTTGTGGTGACAGTCGTCCTAACAACACGCTATTTCAAAACTACCCTAATTTGGGTAGAGCCCACCCAGATCGGTCAAAACTGAACGTACCCAAAAATGGGTAAACATGTATTTACCGAAATCTGGGTAAACGTACCCTGGACAGACTATGGCTTATATAATGTACGGATACGAATTTTGTTCATTTAAAACAAAAATATAAATGTTTATACTCTAAACATATGAATTATTCAAAGTGAATTGAAAGCATCTTTAAAACTAAAATATTTATGTTTGAATTAAATTCAAAAGCATGTTTATTTCAACAATACAGGATTTGGGTAAACGGTTTTTAGTGTGTCATGCCTTTTTATTTCCTCCTTGTTACATTCGGAAAAAGTTGCCCCAGCTTTGCTCAACGTCAACAGAAAACGACCATCCAATCCATTCCGGATCCTCCTCCGATACCGAACATGGAAAGAAACCGGTATGAGGACCAGTGGCAGAAACGGCAAAACGACGCTAATAACACAAATTTGCACCGGTTCCACTGAACTGGAACCCCCGGACACCCACCCCGACGGGTCCTCGCATCCCGGACTAGGACCCCAATACCCACAGGTCATCCTTAATCGCACCCGAAAAAGAACAGGAATTAAGATGCCCTGCCCGCAGATCTTTTTTCTTCATTTCTTTGCAAACCGTTTTATTTTGCTTTACCCTGCACTCAACTACTAAAATAATTCCAAAATATGTATGTTTATTTTAAACATGAGAAGCATGTTTAAAATAAACATATTTATTATTGTTCCCATAGCTGTCAAACCAAACAAAAATAAATACGTTTATTTTCAACACGAATATTTTTGAAATAAACGTAACATTATTTTTATTTTAAACATTGATTTCACATGACTTCAAACATGGAATACGTTTGAAATCAACTTAATTTATGTTTGTGGCCAGAACAAACTGAGTTTACGTTTAAATTTACCTCATTTTTTTTTGTTACGACGATAGTTTTTTCTGCGTGTGTAATATAGGCTGTCTTCAGGGGTTGGTCACTCTACACAGTGTGCCAAAATCAAACTTGGGCACACCCGGGTGCAGTCGTTGGAGCTGTTAGACACCCATGGTTACAATTTTTATGATCTTTAAAGTTACTGGCAACACTGAAATTTTTCTGCGCCTGCGCAGTTTACACAACAATCAATACGAAACTAACGATTTTAAATTGGCTCACCACTTTAGTAGCCTATTGGTCCCAAGCAAACGATTAACGTACCCTATTCTAGTTGAAATTCTATTACTACACTATGTTTGTTTTGATTCGCTATGAAAGTTTGACAGATAACATCAGGGGTGTGTGGATTCATGCAGAACATGCAGGGGTGAGTGAAATAGCTTGGGACTGC